TAGCTTCTTACTTTTGAATGCTATTGGGTGACGTTCTTGTAAAAGCACTCATCCAATAGTAAAATCAGATGCGTCCGTTTGAACTTCAAAAGGCTTCTCAATGTCAGGGAGAGCTAAGACAGGATCTTTCATAATAGCTTCTTTTAATCCCTCAAAGGCCCCTTGACACTCATTTATCCAACACCATTTATGCTTATTTTTTAAAAGTTTCGTGAGGGCCGTGATCTTGAGAGAGTATCCTTATACAAATCTTCTATAATAATTGGCTAATCCAAAAAATGAACAGAGTTCACTAATATTCTTCGATGTTGTCCACTCCTTGATAGCCCTAACCTTTTTCATATCCATTCGAATGTGGTCACATTCGACAATGTGACCTAAAAAGTGGATTTGGGTATAAGTAAATGCACATTTCTCCCTTTTCACATACAACTGATGGTCTTGTAATCTTCAAAACATTAGACGTAAGTGTTCCTGATGTTCTTCCAAAATAGAGCTATATACCACTATGTCATCTAAATAGATGACTACGAATTTGTCAAGATAATCATGAAACATCTAATTTATCAACATACAAAACGTGGTAAGAGCATTAGTCAATCCAAAAGGCATAGCAAGAAATTTAAATGCACTATATCGAGTTACACAAGTGGTCTTTGGTTCATTTCTCTCTGTAATTCTGACCTGATGATAATCAGATCTCAAGTCCAATTTGAAAAAATACTTGACCCGACTTAGTTAATTAAACAGATCTGTTATAAGAGGGATGAGATATTTGTTTCTCACGGTGACTTTGTTCAAGGCCCTATAGTCTACACATAATCGTAAACTTTCATCATGCTTCTTTTGAAATAGCACGGATGCTTCAAAAAGTGCCTTTGATGGCCTAATAAACCTAGCTTGTAAAAGCTCATCTAACTATTTCCTTAGTTCGGCCAACTCTGATGGGGCCATGCGATAAGGGGCTCTAGCAGGTGGTTTAACCCTTTGAAATAGCTCAATTTTATGGTCCACAGAACTTCGAGGAGGTAAGACCTTAGGTAACTTCCCTGGCATCACATATTCGAACTCTTTCAACATTTTTTTCATCCCATAGGGTATCGACTCCACTTCCATCCCTTCTTTGTAAATCGGTATGGCCACAAAGAGCGTTCCTCTCTCTTTACCCCTTTTTTGAACTATAAAGCTGAAATCATTTTTTTCTCATTTTTTGACAAGATAGTGGTCGACACCACACATGGGCGTTCCCTTAAGAACAACAGGCAACTAGTGATGGGGGATTGGAATCACCTAAGCTAACATCATGAAGTCCAATCTGAGGACAACGTCAAAGTCATCCATGAGAGAAACTATAAAGTCTACCTTCCATTCCCATGGCTCTAACTTGGTCATCACACTCTTGAAGCTTTCACTGATCGTAAAGGCTGACGAATTAACCGCTTTCATTTACCTACAGTCCTTGCTAACCTTGAGACCATACATTTTTACTTCTTCTAGTGTGATGAAGGTGTCGATTGCACCCATATCTACCATGACCCTGATGGCCTTCTCATTGAGTATTAGGTCTACATACATCAGGCCTCTACCATGTTCTTTCTTTATCGTGTTTAGTTGGGTGTAGAGGGCATTGAAAAACCTTATTGAACCCATCCTAGCTGGCTTCTTTTCAACTTCTTCTACTATCTCTCATGTTTTTGTGAACTCTTGATATGAGGCTCTTAAGGCATTAAGGGCTCCTCTGTGTGAGCATTCGACCATCCGATGCGGCCCCTTACATAAGAAACAAGCTAGTGGTTGCCTAGGCTTAAAAATTATAGCATTATTTATCTTAGGTTAGGTGCCGTCTCAACCAAAGGGCCTCATATTTGATCTTCCACTGAAAGGTTAGTCCATTTTAGTCATCTTTCTCCCACTCTCAAAGTTGAAGTTACTACCACCTGATAGAGGATTTTTTTCGTTTTGAAGAGCCATCATTATAATCATAGAGACATTCAGCTAAGCCATGGTCATGGTCACATCTTGCACTTTCTATCTTTGCAGTTCTGTCCTGGCGCAAGGCTTGAAGCCCTCAAGGAAATAGAACATCTTGTTCTTTTCGGACATGTCTCTAATGTCCAACATTAGGATAGAAAAACTCATCACAAACTCTCGCACTGTTCTTGTTTGCACTAATTCTCGAAGTTTCTTTTGGGCCATATACTCCACATTCTCAGGGAAGAATTGGTTTTTCAATTCCTGTTTCAGGTCCGCCCAAGTCTTAATTGGGCACTCATCATTGACAAACTTGGAACGCCACCATAGCTTGGCATCCCTCGTAAGGTACATCGATGCCATTGCTACCTTATCTTCCTTTGAAACTATGTGTACAGCTCGAAAGTATTACTCCATGTCAAACAGAAAATTTTCAAGCTTTTTGGCATCTCTCGTCCTCTCATAGCATTGAGACTCCAGCACCTTGACCTTTTTTTCTCTTTCCATCAAGCTAAAGCTCGATCTGGCTATAGCCATTTGTAGGATGCTCATTTGTGCTCTGAGTTCCTCAAACTTCTTTTGGAGAACATTCAAGGCATCTCTAGCCTCCTTGCTCAAACTATGTAGAGTATCAAGCAACTTCTGTTAGGTTGTCTCGATCTCCCTCAGTCAATCAGTAGTCACTAGGGGTGTAAATGATATATTAGTACTCGCAAGCTACTCGGGTTCGATTCGAAAAAAACTCGAATTCGGTTCGATTATTATCGAGTCGAGTTCGAGCTCGAGTAGCTCGACTTATCGATCGAGCCGAATTCGAGTATTTTTATATCTGACTCGAGTAGCTCGCGAACCTAATCGAGCTTTTATATTTAAATATATTTTTATTATTTTAATTAATAAAATATTTCGAGTCCGAGTTCGAGTTCGAATTCGAGCATGAATAATCGAACTCTTATCGAGTATACGAATCGAGCTTATTTTTACATATTAATCGAGCGAGCTCGAGTAGCTCGAATTCGATCACGAATCGAGTTCGAGCTTGAAAAATAAAACTCGATCGAGCTTGAGTCGAGTATCGAGCCCAGAGTTGTGAGTCGAGCTCAAGCTCGAGCTTCTCACTATTCGACTCGGCTCGTTTACACCCCTAGTAGTCACCACGTGAGCTTTTAACGCGACCACCGTAACCTCAAGCTCTTCAAGTCTCTCTTGATAATTGGATCCACCACTTGTGGCCATCTCATCAATTTTCTAGCACTTTTCAACCGTGCTCTGATACCACGTGTCACGAGCTAAGCTTTCTTTTAATGTAGCAATAAATCGTGTGACACTTGAATGGACGCCTCTACACAAGTTAGCCAAGGATAACTCGATATCTGAACAAGCAACAATAAGCCACAAGTTAATCTCAAGTATACACAAGCAAGCACATTCATATCGGGAGAAAGGAAAGCACATCGAGACAACACACGAGACTTTCGAACAAAATATATATTTTATTAATATCGAGAATAGTACATCGAGACTTCTCACCATCGTCGGGGTCAAAGAGGTGGCCATTGACGGGTGACCTAGCACATACCTTAATCAGTGAGGCAGCCCAATAATATGCCGACTGCTCACCCCCTCTAAAGAGCATATGAGATTTTAGAATTATGCTACTACTAACCGTTATAGTGTTTGAAATGGAGACATTTTTCCTAGTACAAGAGATTTACCCTCTCTTGACACCTCTACCCGATCATGGCCCTATACATAGGTGACTCATGACAACCTAAGCCCTAGTCATGGCCCTATACAAGGTTGGCTCATAACAAAGAGCATGTATTCTATACTAATTTACCTAGATCAACAATATCGCACATGTTGAAGATCTTACGTATGAACGGATTTTTAATCCTTCACTACTTTGAAGAGGAACGCGAGGTCAGCCGATTTTTTAAATCTGCTAATATACTGCATGCGTATTGCTTCATCTTGGAGTGACTGGTTTGTTAAGGATGATGGCTGCTTGTTCTTTACTTAAACATTAAAAAAGAGTAGTCACTGTTTCAGGCAGGACTCCTACTTACTGAGGAAGGACTTCGTAGGGAACAAGCTGGTCTATCTGAAGCAACCATTGAAAGGCGATTATGGACTCAAGCTTACTGCAAACATAAAAGTTCTGTTGTTGACTCAGAAAATTTGAATGACAATCCAGAAGTTTGCAGTACATGCATGGTATTGATTTGTCCGCCATGGAAGCAAGAGCAACGTCTTTTTTTTTTTTTTTGCCTGTACTCATATTTCGGTGTCTAATTGTGGTTGCTTGATGTTGAACAGGTAGATTAGAAGGACGAAGACAAGATCGGCCTATTGTATTGTTGTCAACACGTTTTTCACCTAGAGTGCATAAGGAAATGGCTTCTCCAAATGAACGCTTGCCCCATTTGCAGATCCTTAGCCATTATCCCAGAACACCATCTAGACCAATCGTACTTCCGTCTTTATCTTTATCCGCACGCCCCAAAGAATTGGAGTCTTTAGTTTCTCAAATTTTTACAATGGTTTATTTAATAAGCTTTTGTTCCCATTGCCAGGCTTTGTTCTTGACAATTATTATGATATATAATAATAATATTTAAGTGAATTGCTACTAAATTTCTATATATTCTTTAAGTGAAATTATGTGACTACTCTGAGAACGTGCAATTGTGATTGAATAATAGGGCCTTACTTCTGCTTTTGCTTTTGCGTTTCTTGAGGAACTTAGGGCCTTTCTCTCCAAAGAGGGCTCCTTACAGCGTGCTGCAACTTTTTTGGTGGATCATTCAGGTTGGTACCATCTAGAAGGCCTGTCAGTATCCTTTTTCTTGGAGTCAAGAAACAATTTCTTCGACTTCTTTTTCACCCACTCAAGTTCGCGTTCACTTTTAATGGATATTGTAAAAATTAATTAGGTCGGATTTAGAAGAAAAAATTTAAAAAGCATTCAAGTATTTATAGGATTTCGATTGTATAAAGTATAATCAAATTAGAATACAAATATCTAAATGCCGGACACGTATCCACCGCTACAGCGTGTACGTGTGTGTGCATTTTTTTTTTTTAACTATATGACATTGTTTAGTGGAAAAAAGTTATTTTTTAATATTTTTATATTATAATGAAAACTGGAAAATTTCCTTTTGAGGATCACAATTTTTTTTTTAAATTTTGATAAAGTATAAATTATTAGAGTTTTTAATTTAAAAATAAGTATAACTATCTTTTTTATATAACATTTAAATTCGTTTATTCTCAACTAAAATTATAATTAATAAGTAAAATATTTAAATTATCTTACAATTTTTAAATTATTTGAAATCATTATATTTTAATATAAAATAAAAATATGATCTAAATATGATTAATAGCATGTATATATGATATTCATTTATTATAAATTTTTATAATCACTTGAACTTACTTCTCAAAAATATATCCATATATATATATATGCATATGTTATTTTTCAAAATATTCTCCACATATTGTGACTGTTAAATTATTCCGTCCCTTCAGAAAATTTTTGAAAAAAATCACAAAAACTCCAATATTCTTCAATTATTAAGAAATTTGCAATATTTTTATTATAATAATTTTTATTTATATGAATAAAATTACTAATTCTAAATTTAACATTAAAAATATACATATATATATATATGTCTAACACAATTTATATATGTAATAAATGATAAAAGAAATATATTATACAATTTTTAAAAACACCTTATAATTAAACTTGAACTTTATTGTTAAATTAACTTGTGATCCGTGTAATATATAAAATAATTTATCTAAATTATAATTAAACAATAATATTAAATTTTAAACACAAATTAAATATTGCTTGAAAAACATTATTCAAAAATTATCAAACTACTTATTTGTTGGATTTTTAACTGAAAATGGATCGTCCTCTTTATCAAATATCAACCAAATTAGTGAAATAATTATCGAATTTGAACTTGAAAATGAAGCATGATGAAAATTTTCAAAAAATAGACACTGAGCTTAGTGGTAATAAAGTATAAATTAATCAATTAAACTATTATTTAGGATCATAGATACGTTATTTTATCTTCACTTCAATTGTTTTATCATTGACATTTAAAATATATATCCTTGTTTGATGAAAATAAAACAAAATATTTTTATATTACAAAATTAAAGAAAATAATATTTTTCGTTTACATAAAAATTTGATTGAAAAAAGTAAAAAAGTTGTAGATGCTTAAAAATTTTACACAATTTTTTGTACGTTGTCTTCCTTAATCTTCATATATTTGATAAACTACATTTTATTATTTTAAAAACATAAAAGGTTTAATTCAAATAAAAGTTTATATCTTATGGGATGACAGTATGTATATTATACATTATCAATAGACTAATATTGCCATCTCTCTCATTGATAAGTTTTTAAAATTTAGAAATCTTTGAAGATAAATTAATATCTTTAATTTTAACAGTTTATAATTTTTAAAACATAATTTAATAAGTTTTCTTATTATCAAGGCAAACGACTTGTTATCGTCCTAGATTTTAATATTAAACAATAATAGGGTCAGGATTTACTTGAATAACGGTGATAGAGTTTGGATCTTGATCTACTTGTCTCTGGAATTAAACTAATTAATACATTTAATTTTTAATTAAAGTTTTATTGGAATCATAATTCTAATAGGAATATAATTATACCTATTATATAAATAGACACATATACTAATGAACGTTGAACTTAAGTGACAATAGCAATTAAATTAGTGAAAGTCTCTCTTCTTTCCTTGAATAGCCTAATCTTTGGTATCCACAAAAACCTTAATTTTAATAATTAATTAATTATCCTATATAATCAGATTTAAGACTTTACTTGGTATAAAGAATAGAAAGGGAGAAGAATGAAAATTTTATTAATTTAATGATTAAAATTCATGACTACTTTGTTATTTTGTAGTTTAACCATTAGATTAATCAATTTTTCATTCTATTCTTTTCTATCATCAATACCAAGTCTAAAAATATCAGATTTATTTAGGCCATATCACCAGGAAATTTTTTATTCTTTTGATTGTAAAATTGAGCTCTAATTTTTGTTGGCTTTTTTAACATTGATTTTCATTGATGATGACACCAAGTTTGTGGTATTGGCAGTTGTTAAATCTAATTGTTGGGATGAATCGGTTGAACAAACCTTTGGAATCTCTTCCAAACAATAAATCATATGATCCAAGTAGATGGGAGCGTGGAAATGATAAGGATGGAAATGCTGAATCAAGTGATAACAATGATGAACAGGTGCACTAACTAACTCTTCTCGCCTTTTATTGTTTCGAATTGGAGGAAATTATTAATTATGTAATTTTAGTATTTAATTTATAATTGGATATATATGGTTAACCTTTGTTATCCCAGGCAGAGTATTTACTCCGAATGCAGCCTCGATTGACAGCATCACATTTGTTGATTTGTTTCGGTGGGGAGAAATTGCTAAAATTGCAGTCTTTCATTAGCTCGAAAGACCTTACGGTGGCGGTCTCTTGATTTCTCTTTGCAAAGTGCCACATTGATTTAATTGTCTTGGACATGATGACTGGTTGAGTGGTGGTTGTTTGCCTACGTAAATTTATATATTAAAACCGATTAATTGTTGTAGGAAACGGCGCGTCTGTTGGAGGCAAATCTTCGACTTGAAGAACGTGGCCTTTCAGAAGATACCTTTATACGGCGTTTACGAACTAGAACTTATTGCCAGCATAAAATTTCTTTGGACAGGTCTACAGTTTTGGATAAAAAACCAGAACCTTGCAGCATATGCTTGGTACGTACATATATGTTGTTTTCCTTTTCTTAGATTTTGGCAGTTCCCGGCTCAGAAACATGCTTAATTTCTTTGCTAAGTCAAATGTCGTCATGGTTTGGAACTCTTATGATTGAGGTTTTGGTTCAGGTTGATTACGAGGATCAAGACAAGGTTGTCTTGTTGTACTACTGTAAGCATTTTTATCATGTGGAGTGCATAAAGAAGTGGCTTCTACGAAAGAATCAATGCCCTACTTGTAAGAGTTTAGCTTTTATTCCACAACACTTGCCAGATTGGGAAGGAGATATTGAATATCATCAATCTTACTTCAACCGTTTTTATTACATGAAATACGAATAAAAATGGTGACAGACCTTTAGTGTTTTGCAATAAACTTATATATTTTTCTACTCAATAGCCTTGTTCACGTATCTCAGACTTATATTTTAATATATATATGAGCGGTGCTCGAAGGGTTTTACTTGTTCTCCATTTCACTTGTTCCACAATTTGTGTGGATAATTTTCATAATTTTCTTTTCTTTGGTGCATATAATGTTTATAAATTTATTTTATTACATGTTTTTCTCTATAACCTTAATCACTAATAAATATATATATATATGTATATGTGCGTACATGTGAGATGATATAACTAAAGCGACAATTAAAGCCATGGCCTCTCCAAATTAAATTGTTTTTACTTCATTATAGAAAAGTAACTAATCTCAGTATAATACTTGGCCTCTTTTTTCATATTTTTGTCTTTCGCTTTGTGTATCTACATATAAATAAGGATTTAAATTACATATGATTTAATTTTATTTTTTGAATTTATTAAAATTAATAATTATAAGAATATGAAAAATTTTGTAATTTTACACTAGTGTAATTGTGTATGTTGATCTTTTTCGTATATGTGTATGTGTATGTATATGTATGTATATGAAAATATCAATTTATATAGTATAAAACTAAAAAAATTTTATACATTTTTCAAACAATTGATTGAAATTATAATTGAGTTCTCAATTGCTTAAATGTGTATATATATAGTATCTTCATTTATAGAATAGTCTAAATTGATGGCAAATGTCATTTGCATCACGTGATGACGTTAACTAGCATTCTATGTGGTATATGAGGAACCAAAATAAAATTCTTTCAAATTTTGTGGCAAATAAAGAACCAAAATAAAATTCTTTCTAAATTTAGGGACCAAATATGAAATTATTTCAAAATTTTACATATTTATATGTTTTATAAATTATTAAATTTAAAATTATATTTTTATATTTTTTATTGTAATATGATTTATTAGTTATATTTTTTGTTTTTAATAAAAATTAGTTTTTTTAAATTAAAATAGGCTAAAATTTCAATATCATTTTAAAAACAAAATAATTATTTTCTATTAAAAATATTATTTTACTCACAAATCATAATAAAAATATTATTTTCTATCCATAAAATATATATTTTAAAATATTAAAGATCTTTTATTTTCTTTTTTCAAATATATTTTATAAAAAATAAATAAAGGAAAAGATAAAAATAATTCAATAAGAATTATTTTTCTATATTTCAAATATATTTTATAAAATATTGTAATTTATAATATTTTATAATTTTTATTTTGATATCATTTATCAATAAAATAATATTTTAAATAAAAAATAGATTTAAAAAAATTAAAATTAAGTTGAAAATTTTAAAATAATTTTGGTAAAATTACAAATAATTTTAAAAATTAAGTAAAATTTTTTATATCGGTTTAAGAAATTAAATAAAAACTTTATATCATTTTAAAATATTATGTAAAAATTTTCAGATCGTTTTTAAAAATAGATTTATTAATCTATTCAAAAATATAAAAACTTTACATTCATATAAAATAAAAATATATTTTAAAACATTTTTATTTTTTCTTTTGTTATAAAACATATTTTATAAAATATATTTAAAATGAAAAAATATATACTTAATAATTAAAAATTTACCAAATAATTTACCAAATAATTTAATGTTGAACAATTCCCTTAATTTACTCCAATATGTTGGTAATAATTTAAAAATATTTCTTTACCCCATGAGTATTCAAGAAAACTATTTATCACACTTTAAATAGGTTTCATCATCGAATTTATTTAATTTTGCTTTTAAAAATAAATATTTATAAATAGAGTTTATAGAAAAAAATATCCTCCAATCTATTAGTAAAATTTTTTTTTTCAATTATCCTTCAATCTGTTGATAAGATTTTATACAAAAAAATACATGAAATATTATTTTATTTTTTTTTAAAACTTATTTTTTAAAAAATTATAAGACTTTTCATAAAACCTTAATTTTTTAAAAAGCAATAGATTTCCAATATGTTAATAAAGTTTTTATTTTAAATAAAATAAAATTGTAAGATTTTTTAATATGTCAGTAAAATTCTGTAAAAAAAATTTACCAGACTTTTATTTAAAATATATATATAATTTTTGAAGAAAATAAAAGACAAATAAATAAATAAAACAATTAAATAAACAAAATAAAAATGTACCTGAAGTTGGCTTGAAAAACTGCTGGGCTGCGCGGCTGGCTCCAGGCACAATGGATGGTTGAAACGGCTCGGCTCAAGGCAACAGATGGGATCGGGTCAGGGTGGGATGGCGCTGCTGGTCGGGCTGAAATTCGTAAAAGGCGGGGATCCTGGATCTTTAAGAGTCACCAGAACGGCGTCGAAATACAAACCCAATTTTACTTCTCTCATCTCGGAATGCTTGAATCCTTCTTTCTCTAAAATTCTTGTATTCTCCGTCTTTTTCTCCACTGGGTTCAACGAAATCTAGAAAGCGGCAAAGAACTCCCAAGTCCTTTGAGCCGGCGCCAGAAACATTTACCCTCTTGCGGGCAAAATCAAAGGTTTTTCCAGAAAACCCAAAAACCTCAACCCTTTTTAGTCAAATTTCCATAATCAAACCAATCTAAAAGTACTAAACCAAACCCATAAATCCTAGAAAATAAAACAAAGCCATAAAGTTCCTAAACGATTTCACTCTCCTGTCTCTGTTCCCTCTGCTTTGAATGTGAATTTGCGCTTAATTTATAGCTTTTTTTAGTAGAAATTTTAGAGTTTTAACGGATTCAATAATCCTAGGATTTTATTTTTGTTTGATTTAGGTCAATGCTTTCCATTTGGTTTCTAGATTTTATGCAATTAGATTCCAAATCCCTTCTTGCCCGATTCACGTTCGAAAATCCCAGAAATTTTGCTGATTCACTCTTTTTTTCTTTTTTTCAATTTTCTTGTCAAAGAACAATACGCGAATAAAAGAAAGAAAGACAAGAAAAATTAAGAGTAAAATTAAAATTATAAATAAATAATAATAATAAAAAAAAATATTTGTTGGGCCAAAGTACACAATCGATAAACAAATATGGGGCTCAAAGCTTAAAAAAATAAAAACATTTGTAAAAAGCCCAAACATCAACACTTAGAAGGCTTGACAATCCCGAAGAGATCTGAATGTAGAATTGATCGTATCTTATATGAAGATAGGTGTTTACAGCAAAAATATGTAAATATAATTTAAAATTATTTTTTTGTTATAATATAACTTATTAGATAAATTTTTATTTTAAATAAAAATAAATATTTAAAACTTAAAATTAAGTTAAAATTAAGTGAAAATTTTATTTTTATCCTTAAATTTAAGAAATTTTATTTTGATTTGTCATTTATCACGTGAAAATAGTAGTTAATGTTATCACATAATGTCAATTGACATTTATTTTTAATTTAAATAGTTTCATAGATGAAAGAATTATATTATTATACGTTTAAGTAATTGAGAATTCAATTAAAATTTTTTAAAATTTAAAAATCAAAATAAAATTTGACTTAAAATATAGGGATTACATATGCTATTTACTTATATATATAATTTAATTTTTGCTTTCTTTGCAATCTATATTATATGCTTCATTTTTAACCAAATAATGTATACCATCATAAAAAATTTGCTTCAAAAATATGAACGAAAAAGATTCAAGTAATCCTAAGTTAGCAGCAAATCTCATCTCTAATCTGTATTGCGATGTACTTTAATTTTATTTTTTTAATATTTAAAATTATTAAAATTTATATTTATATTATTAAAATTAAGAGATTAATATTTTATATCTGCATTTAGTTAAAAAAATATAAAAAAATATGTTCAATTTTTTGATTTAATGATTAAAAGGTTTAAAAAAAGTGTGTAAAATATGTGTATGATCCCAACCATCTCCAATCCCCTTAATCGCCTTGGATAAAATAGATATATGAATATATATATATATATTTATATATTAACTAATAGGATCTAAAGATATAAATTCTAAGGTCAAAATGTTACCGGCACTGCAGCAGCAATACAGCATCATCTTTATGAGCTTCGCTCTCCTTTTGGCTTCACAATCACTGACAGGGCGGAGTCTTTTATTCTCCATCTCACAATTTCCATGTAGTTGATTTATAATCAGATCAGCGCTTTCCTTTTACATTTAGTACATACGATCAAGAAAGTCCAAGCCAAGTGGAGAGCAGGGATTGGTTATTGGGTAAATTTTTTTTTTTCTGTTTTGTAATTTTAATTCCTTCTTGACTGTATGCTCCCAATGGTCTATATGTGATGGGATTCGAGTTCATGTATTTATTTTACGGGAAACTTTTCTCGGGTACGCTGTTAATTAGTTCTTGCCAGAGACACTATCAGCATCAGTGTCATAAGCCAATCTTATAAAAGGTCATGATTAGAGTTTAAGTTCTCATGAGTCATCTATATATAAGATCATAATCGAATAAATTTTTTTGTTAAAAAAAGTGTCTTTATTTCAAACATTATAATAGTTAGTGGTAGCATAATTTTAAAATTTTTAAGGCTCTTTAGAGGATGAGTCGGCAGCATACTATTGAACTGTCTCACCGATTGCTATGCGGGCTTAGATCATCCACCAAGAGCTGCCCCCTAGCCCTGGTGATGGTGAGAAATCTCGATGTATGATTCTCATTTATAATAAAATTCAACCCGATTGAATGTCCTGATGTTACCTCGATGTGTTTTTCTTTTTCTTGATGTGAATGTGCCTTCTTGTGTGTGTGCTTGAGATTGATCTCGATATATTGTGTCTTATTATGAATGCTTAGGACTAATCATGGCTTATGGTTATTTGTTCAAATATCGAACTAGTAAAGACTGACTTGGGTGGGAGCGTCCATTCAAGTGCCGCATGGTCTATTGCTTATTGAGAGAAAGTTTAGGTCGTGACACGTGGTATCAGAGTGCGATTGAGAAGTGCTAGAAAAAGAGATGAGATGGCCACAAGTGG